GTCTAAAATCTTCGTCTAAAATCATCCTTTCTTTAAATGTCTTCAAATGTCTCCTTCCTGACTTTCTGGGCCTGTACAACAGTGTTTATGTCGACTATGTCGTTTTTGTCGACACCTCCCTATGGTCTGATCTATAGACTATATGTTAATGTCTCTTACCTTCTGAGCAGGATGGTTAAGGTAGCTACCTTTCAGTGGTGGAAGAAAAAACTGTCATGTTTGAGGGGTTGTGCTTTGTTTTAGGTTGAAAGGCATCCAAACACATGTCTACCTGACATATGGGCTAAATGTTAATGGCAAAAAAAACAAAAACAAAAAAAATCAAAGCATTCGCAAAGACCATTACTCTCCATAGGCGTAATGGTTTTTATACTGTACAAACTTCTATCACCATACCCCCAATGCTGTACCTAAATCTACCTCATAGGAAACTATTGGCAATTTCTGAAATTCATAAAACAATATTACAGGCAAAATTGTATACATTGTTTAATTTTTGTTGTTATTTAAGAAATGTATTCATTTTAATCCAGCCCACAGATAGTATGTGAAATGTAAAGTACAAATATACTTTATCACTTAAAGCTTATCAGTAAAATAATTACACCCACACATTTTAAACATGTTTAAAAGGTTAAACATATTGTGTGTCACTAAAGCAAGGCACGAGGTCTATTGCCTTTAAATTAAACTGGTTTTATTCTGTAATTTCTTTCAAATAGCCTGATGACCAGCATTGTTTTTTGGTTTTTTTTCAGATCATAAATGCGGCCAAATGTTTTTCTCACATGAGCAGAAAACTCTTTGGATGTGTTTGTGACAAACACATAATTTTTTTTTTACTTCAGAAAACGTTTTAAATGTATGGCTGAACTTTTCTCATTGGACAGATTTTTAAAATAAATTTAAATACATTTTCAAATTATTTACCCAAGGTGTTTAACAATCAATTTAAATTTATTTTAAGCATTGCTGAATGATCAGTAAGTGTTTAATCATGATGACGCGCATCAATATTTTTTTAATTCAATATTTTTTTAATTTTTTGAATGGGCCATTTGTAATTTAAATTTAAATTTAAATTTAAATTTAAATTTATTTTAAGCATTGCTGAATGATCAGTAGGTGTTTAATCATGATGACGCGCATCAATATTTTTTGAATGGGCCATTTGTAATTGCAAACCTCTGAAGCAAATACTCTATTGCACAATTTTATTGTAATTTATTGTGTCCTTGCTTCTGTTTCCATGTTACTACCTCTGTGTTCCTTGCTGTATGTTTGATTGTTTAATAAGAAGTTACTGGATGAAATTTTCCCTTGCCTCTATGACTCTTTTATTCAGATTGTATCATATGTTTAAAAGATGTAAGCATATTTTGAAATACATTAAAAATATTTTTGCTGTATAGTGTTGAATGTATTATGTTCATCACATTTTTTATTTATTTGAAATTATTTAATATGGAATTGTCACTAAAATTCTTTAAATGTACTTAGCATCTTAACATTATCTTTGGTATAGAAATTAAAGTGTAACCATCGTGACATGAATGTTATGGATCATGGATCTTATTATGAACAATCCCCCTGTACATTTTTCTTTAACCTCTAATCTTTAATAAAAAAAAATCTACCTGTGAAAACGACAGAATTCTCTTAGGTGGCATATGCACGGCTTCTCTAGTCATTGAGCTGTATTAAACTACACCCCCTGTAGAACTTCTTTACCCGCCTCCACTTTTGAGTGCAACGCCCCCATCTCAACAACCAACCAAACAATGGCCGAAACGTAGAAACAAGACCTTTCTTCCCAACAATTTATTTCGTTCGAATGTACAGAAAATCCACCACCACTTCCTCGTGACTACGGCTACACTACACCCCTGTGAGCGAAGAGCGGCTGTTCAGGATAAACTCTGCATTTATCGCAGGCTTTCCTAGATCTGCGACCAATACCAGGTTTGACAGCACGGTTGACGGAACTACTGCAACATCTTGTTGATCAAAACATTATGTGCATGGACCGACAGAATCAGCTTCAACAATCCAATTTGTCTGAGCCTCAGGCACTCTGCAATTTTTCAATTAATAACTCTTCGGAGACAACATTCTATATCGATTAGGGGACAAAGTTTATCTCTTGGAGAGAATTGAATTCCGAAAAGGATATCTGACGCTGCACAAAAGCTGATGGAGCGCAACTGGGGTTCTGGCGCCGCTACGGATGATCAGCTGATCTTTGGCTGCGTGGGAAGCGTGTCATGTAATAGACTTCATAGACACTACGTTTAAACCGCATTACCGAGGACAAATTATCAAACTGATGCATACGGTCATCGAGCATGCGTGCGATCCGAATCATGATTATACGTGGGATACTAAGCGTGTAAAAAATCTTAAGAACGAGATGGATGTTGTAAGAAGCCTGAAAAATCCATGGCCTGATTTGACTAGCATGTTTAGCACCAGCAGAGAGCCAATCTGTGTAACTACCAGAAAAATTCTAGATGTGATGTCTGAATGTGATAATGAGATAGACATTAGCGAGGTTCTCTGTCTGTCTACATGTGTAACAGATTTATGTGTGTTGCTGGTTTAAAAAAATTATGGTTCCATGACATGTGAAATTGTTGCAACACTGGTTAATTTCATATTAGGGCAAAACATGCTGGCCTGTAGAGATTTTCTTTTCTGGCTAGACCACCTGTAATGTCATTACTACTGTTTGTTTGTAAAGGCAATTTAATCATTTTCTTCACTACTTCAATGTATGAATATATTTGTAGCGTATGGACCAATCAGACTCACCGTTTTTCATTAGATTAAACAAATCAATTATGCATTAGATTAACAAATAGTTACAGACCCCTCACCCAATAAACATACTGGGTGCCAGGATGTCTGCGAACGACACCAGGCCCCTGGTCACCATGGCAACCACGACACCTTTTGCTAGACCAGATACACTTTACGAAATGGCATGTTGAGAATTACCCGTCTCACTACAATTTCAATAGAGAAGTCACAATGCACAGTAAAAATGGACTCTTCGCTAATTAATTATTAGGAAAACCTTTCTTTGAATGAACACACATATACTTCAAGTCATTGTGTATGTTGTTACTGTCCTTGTAATATTGTCTTTTATATTGTATACTGTTTTATGCATGCTTATGATAGAACCACTCATTCATGTAACCTTACATATACCATGTTTGGTCTCTATGAATTCGTATTCGGATGCTCTAATTGAGAGTGTATATTATAAGTTTATACCTATGCAACCTATTAGTGTTCTAAGAGTGTTAGTAACTTTTCATCACCCCCAACTCGAGTTCCATTTGCAAATTACCATGCTTCCACACAAAGGGTAATAAAACTCCCCAGTATCCAACCTCCCGCTTGAAACTTCAGCCTTTCTCATTGGACAAGCTCATCCTGAGAGGCGTGAATCTCGTCAGGCCTTAAAGGGCTCACATCAGTGACCCGCCTTCAGTCTGCGGTTCTGTTAGATTCTGAGAAGATGGGGATGTGTGTAGTCTTATAGGCTTCATAAGTTAACCACAGTGGGAGAGACACCCTACTCCCTCACCCTCACTCAGCAGTGCAAACTCCCTCAGGCTTGCACCAAACTACGAGGGAGGAGCCAGCACTTTCTGCTTAACAACTCAGCAGACATAATACCTCCAGCAGCCACAGAGAGGAGGGGGTCCCTCCCAAGCATCCCTGCAGCAGTACATGATGTGACCCCCAGAGACCTTGACAAGCTAGCCAGAAACATCCCAGCATTCACATATTATGGTGAAGAACAGAACGTTTTAAACATTGCTTGCAAGCAGACCCAGTAGTCAATCTTATGTCTCTGTCTCATAAATTTTAGTAACTTCTTATACATGCTCATACCAGTTTCTGATCAAAATCAGATAAAACTATAGCTTGAATGTGCCTTCCTACCAGCAGTAGAAAGTTTTCAGTGCTATAATGTGTTTAAATCGTACGATAAGAAACTAACCTGATTTTAGCGAAGAAATCCTAAATTCTGTTGTTAGTAGAGGGTACGCCTTTTCTGATGGGTAAACCTCAGATTAGCAGCCCATATAAATGGTACCAGAATAAATCGGTCTGATCTTGGGCGAAGAAATCCCCTTTTTCAGCACTGTTGTAGGTGATCTAAACTATGCTCCTCATTTCACTGATTTAAGGCCTTATTATGTGTTACGTATCATTGTATTCATATTTATCCGCTCATGTGAAACATTTACGTCAAATTAATGGTGTTATTCTGGCGTAGCTAACTATGAATTCACCATTGCCTGTGAAGTGAATGTGCTGTTTTGATTTGTGAATGAAGTTGTATGCGACATGTCATAACTGACTCTTATTCCCCGCATGAGTTTCCCATGCATGCTCACAGCAGTGCAAGTTCTGCTCCACTTGCACCTGATGTGAGCTTGCATTGGTCTCCTAGCAACACGTGACCCCGGAAGTGTGAGCAGACTCTTCCGGTTAATCTGACAACAGCCCCACTTCACAGACCTGTGTGTAAACAAAGAACTGCGTGTAAACCAACGCTAACTCTTAAGCTAAGCCCTTTACCTCAACTGCTAGCTGTTAGCATCCGACTAACACTTAGATAGGTGTGTAAAGTGTAACTTTCAAACCCCTCCTCTCTCTCTCTCTCTCTCTCTCTCTATCCCCGTCACTCCTGGTGTCACTTCCTGTTGATGCCATCACCTCCTCTTTGAATTCAGTTCGGCCGGTCCCTCCCCACATACTTTGGTTTTTACTTGTGTTATTGTTTATTTTTGTTTTGACTTTATTCTACCTCTCTTTAATTTTATTGCATTTATTTACATTTGTTTAGCACAAATGTACCAATTCAGCTAAATTGATTTGTATTAAATTTGAGATTTAATTAAATCAAATTTTTATTTTTTTATTTTTTTATTTTTTTTAATTTACTTTCCCTTTTAATTTCCTACAGCTATTAGGACCCCTTTTGTTTGTTTTGTTTTACTTTTACCTTATTTTAGTTATTTTACCATCACCATCTTCGCTTTTTGTATAGGATTACAGTAGTTCTAGCAACTGTTGTTTCCTTAATGAGTTATACAGGTTATTAGTAGCCTAATCCCTGTTTCCTCTCTACTTCTCACTCCTCAGTGCCAGACCTAATACATTGAAGGGCAGCTACTGTTCAACACAATGTAAGCCAAGATAGAACTAGGAACAATTCCCATTGTTTCTTTTTCTTTTCTTTTTTTGACGAGGTATTTGGTGGGTCCCTGCTAGTTTAGCTAACAGTCTAACCCTAGGTTTATGAAGTCTATTGCAGCATCACCCAAAAGTGACACCTGCTTAGCCATATCTCTTAGAAAAAAAACTAAAATAGGAAAAAATCTTCCTTCTTCCCGTGAAGCCAACGCTAACACTTTAGCAGCCGCACAGGCATTTAAGCTAAGCCCTTTATCTCAACTGCTAGCTGTTAGCATCTGACTAATATTTAGATAGGTGTGTGTAAAGTGTAACTTTCAAACCACTTCTCGCTCCCTCTCTCTCTCTCTCTCCCCTCACTCCTGGTTTCACGTCCTTTCGTTTATGCTATCACCTTCTCTTTGGATTCAGTTAGGTCGGTCCCTCCCCACATACTTTGGTTTTACTTGTGTTATTTTTATTTTGACTTTATTCTACCTCTTTAATTTTATTTTCATTAATTTACCTTTGTTTAGCTTGAATGTACCAATTCAGCTAAATTGATTTTAATTAAATCTGAGACTTAATTGAATCAAGTTATCTATTTTTCCTTTTAATTTCCTACAGCTATTAGGACCTTTTAGTTT